CTCGGCTAAGATCTTGTTTGCTGGCCTTCTATGGGAGGCGATCCTCGTTCGATGTCTGTTGCCGCGTCCATTTTGTATCCCTCTCCGTCTTCTTTGCACTTTCTTTCACCACTTGCATTCGTTTAATCATGATACCCCTACATGCAGCACTTTTGCTTTTGTAACAAATTTTATTACCTGTCATTACGACTCTTCTGGCGGAATATACCGACCTTCATTTATTATCTTACTAACGCCTCCAATATCATTTTCCTTTTCTGCATTTTTGCCTCTGCTACATCGTCTCCTATTCCCCTCAGCCACTTCTGTGAACAGAACAGCACGTTTAGGTCCAGTAGCGAGACACTCTGTGGTGCAACGACGATGGGAACATGGATGTGTCGGTTTCGTCCTTGGTCAATACAGCCTAGAGGAGTTGTGTCGTTCGGATTGTCTGGATGCGATGCTAACTAATGAGCAGAATGAGTGGGTGGAGACGTCTTGGAACAGCGAGGCATTCGTTCCTATTCTACAGCCTTGTCTCTGTCTGTCATTCAGAGCTACTGGTTTATTCAAAAAGCAAGGCATGTTCAGTTTGAACTAGGATTTCAGAGCCCAGAAAATTGAGGAACAAATTATATTGAGTTGCATACCAAAGATGCCCAAGTGCAAAGGAGCTGCTGGTGTGCAGGCTATCTACTTTGAAAGTGAGTTTTTGAAAAAAAGAATGCTCTCGCATGACTAAGTTTACCATTTTTTAAAGAAAAATTAATATTTTGTACAATTTCAAGACGTGTTATGCTTTATTAGGGCATTGTACGAGTCGAATGACTGTTGCGAGCTGAGAATAGGACCTCCACCACCTAATCGTCGCTGACACAAGCAAGAATAAATTGCAGTCACTTAGATAATGCCGTGGCTCTGCTCTACGAATAAACACCCGTTTTTATTGCCATGTCACGTTCTTCCACGCAAGTACTGCTGGCATTTGATAAACTGCATGTAGACTGCTCCACAACCTACTTACCGGCTGTTGGTATTACACAGACTATACAAGTAAAATTTACTTATGCATAACAGGTCACATGTCCCCATCTGTATTAGTCTAGGTCCTTTATCGACTATTATCTGTTAAGGTTCTTCCTTTTTGCGCTACTAATCCTTACCTGTATCGGGCATCCACCCAGGAGAGGCGCCCCTCGAGCTGATGCAGGCAAGAAATGATATCACAGTGGACCTGGATCAAACATATTAGTGCACGATTCCTTACAGCAAATCGTGCCTTACAACGCATTAGAACTGATAAAAGCATTTTGCTACCAAAAAGGCCTTCGGTTAATTTGAAAATAACTTAAAGCCTAAGTTGCGTCAGGAATCGCGAGAAGGTGGTGTCGTATTATCGTTAAAGGATGTAGGTTGTGGGATGTAGGCACACTTCCCTCGTCCAAAATGTTACGCTTCAAATGCTTGGCACTTGGCTGTCGCACCCTCCCTCAACAACTAGTCGACTCATGCTGGCTGCGATTCAAGCGTCTCTTGGCCCACTGTACCTCTCCCTCGTGGCCAAAGTGCTCCTCTAGCTCACATGCGAACTTGCCCCATCTCATCTCCGCCTTACCCATCACATCACATCTCTCTTCCTCTGCTCAGCTGCGCTCTATTCTCCATTAGACGGCACACCACAACTATTGCTTTTGCAAGCAAAATTCGACAAGTTGGATGAAGATAAGACGGAAATTGAGTGGCGGAAGCAGGAATGGAGCAAAGGGGCTATGACGATGGCGTTACCAG